CCTATTAAAAAATCCACATTTTTCATATACTTTCCACAATTTGAGACCTTCTTTTTCTCTCTTCTCAAATATGTGTTCATGATGTTCGCAAGCTTTATATATAGTCCATTTAGCTGTTTGATTTGGACCTAGTTTATCTTGAACATGAACATATTTCATTAACTTATGAGAATGAGCTTGAGACATTTTATTTTTTTGTTTTTAAAAATTGGAACATTTAAGACTGTTTTTTATTTTTCAATATTTATTTCATGTAGCTTTTATATTTAAATGATTTTACTGAAATGAACAATTTAATATCAAACAAGCATGACTGGTCTGCATAAAGCTGATCTAATTCAAGGGCAAATTTGTGTTAGATTAATAATAAGTTTTGAATGCCTTGTATAAAGAGGTAAGTCAATGCAATTTACAAGAATGTATTTAGCTAATTTACAGACACAAAGAAAATAAGTATTTTATTGCTATTTTCATGCAAATCTCATAAATTCCACATACTACTATTGTTTTCTCAATAACATGTGGAATTTATGGAATTTATAAAATTTTATATCGTGCTAATTAACTAATTCAAAAATAGCAGATTCATGTGCATTTACATTAAATCAGCATTAATCTTTATTCATTCTTGTGAATCTGTATTAATACCTATTTTTGAATTAAATTGCTTAGAACTTGCAGTGATAGAATCTCATTAATTTGGGTGGGGATCTCTTGCAGTATAGGTGACACTACTAATAAAATGGTTATTAATCAATTTATTTAGAATAAGTGTCACTCATATTGCAAAAGACCTAGGGCGGCTTCGCCTACTCAAGTAGAAAAACAGAAAATTTACTTGGCCAAAATTTGCAAAATTTTTAATAATTGATTAGATTGGCCAGTCAAAAATTAGTGCAAAATTGTTTTTTGATTGTAAAAAATTACTGAAAGATATTTTTATTTGTCTAATGATCCTAATGTTTCTAATTTTACTTTTAGATTATTTACAGTATACTTTATATATAATCTGTAAAATTTAATGACAACAATACTTGTAGCAGAATTGGTCATTTTTCAGTATAGTAGTTAATGTTGGGAATCAGATGATACTTGGAATCACGTGATAGATCAATCAATGTGATCTATGTCGGCTTCCAAAAAATTCCGATCTTGTGTAACATATATCTAAAGCAGAGTAGATTCTTATAATATACTGTATATTTTATCGAATTAGCTTTACTTAACCTACCCAAGGCTGCTATTTTTTGTATTTTTCTTCATCGACGATCAGCAAAATTCTATAATTTGATTGGTCGTATATCACGTGATGATGCACCTTCCCCAGTATCACTGTCAAATTTTTCCCTTTCATATGACAGCATTTCAAAATTTTTAAATTCGTTTAAGTTAGGGTTAGCATTTATAATAGATCTAAGTTTTAGAGAAATAATAGTAAAATCACTTGAGGAATTTTTTTTGATAGAGTACAAATGGTGATTTCTTATGAAAGTTTTTGAGAAATAAGTGATTTTTGAAAAGCAAACGTTTTGTTTTAATCTTCCTGATTATGTAATGTTACATTAAAATGAAACTCACTATTGGATGACCATCACGTGAAAGTGAAAATTTGACCAATACTGGGGTAGTTCCGCTTTAGATGCCCCCCTAGTTAATACAACAATACGTACACACTTGCATTGTTAAGCAAAAAAAAGATTCTCGCATTCAACATTGTAGTGAAAAAAAACTGTAACTAAAGCAGAAGTTTTACACTTACCATAGAAATTCAAGAATTAGTCAATGATAAAACCAAACTGTCTACCTTAATTGCACTTGTCGTAGAACCTAGAAGTGTAAATTAAAAAAAAAAGAAAACCAAAAAAAAAAAAAAAAAAGGAAACCAAAAAAAAAAAAAAAGAAAAAAAAACATGCTTGCTATTACAAAAATTCTGGAAAGCCTAGAAGAATATCAAGCAATTGTTGAATACCACTGCTCAAAGACCATACCAGATGATGTACAACATGACCCTAAAAAAAAGTTCAATTTTATCCATCGCTGCAAGAAATTTGAGGTTGATGAAAATGATTGTCTTTATATCTAGCCGGTCATAAAAGATGGTGTAGTATCAGAAAAACATCGTATGATCTCCAAGTATGATATAGAGATGCAAACTTTAATATTGTTACGCTTCCATGATCAAGCCAACCACTGTGAGTATCATAAAACTTTTTCTGTGATTTCAAAAAAGCATATTGGAATCACCCAGGAAGAAGTAAAGGCATATGTCAATCAGTGTTCTGCTTGTGCAATAAACACCACCATCAAAGAAAAAGTGGGCATAAGACCTGTAGTATCAATAGCACCCTGGCAGTATGTTCAAATCGACCTAATCGATTTTCGAGATTTTATTGAGGTCAATGATGATTTTGCGTGGTTACTTACCTGCATTTGTGTGTTTTCCAAGTTTCTTGTTGTAGCTCTCCTGAAAAACAAAGAAACAAGTACAGTTGCGATGCACCTTCTCAAAGATGTTTTCAAAATTCTTGGCCCTCTTGTAGTTCTTCAAAGTGACAATGGTAAGGAATTTGTTGCAGGAATTATCACCCAAATTTGTGAAGCACTCAATATTACGGTTAGGCATAGTAAGCCCCATCACTCCCAATCACAAGGTCAGATTGAACGGCTCAATCAGACTGTGGGTCGTGGTTTTACTAAGTTGCTTTGGGATCAAGATAACCAGTTACAGAGAAAAGACTGGATCAATGTAATTGATGTGTTTGTCATGTCATATAACTCGACTATTCACAAAGCACATGGCCACATATTACATGAAGCGATGTTCGGGTGGAAAATGCATTGTGTTTATAATACTCCTGGTTCTTATTCCAAATGCAAAACTTATTTGTAGACCCTAGCATCATTAATCTAAAAATTTCGCTACTAGCATTAGCATTAGCATTAGTGATGCCTGACGAAATGATGAAACCTGACGAAACTATAAGCTTCATCGAGTTTTATCATTGACGAAACTTGATAAAACTCATGCTTTCGTCAGGTTTCATCATTTTGTCAAATATTACTAGTTAAGGTTTGGGTGTATTTTAATTTGATTTTTAATTTGATTTTGATCTTGAATTTAATTTGTCTGAATAGTAAAATTTTTAGGTTGATAACGTTAGTGTAGTTAAACATATTTAGAACAACTAAACATATGATTATTTTATGTTATAACAGATATTTCTGAAACCACTGCCTCAGAGACTGCCCCTGAGCCCACATATGTTCCTGGAACTACTGCCACCTCAGAGACTGCATCTGAGCCTTCAAAAACCTTTGAATTACCGTTACTACAGAGACTGCCTCTGAGCCCTCAAACGCCTATGGAACCACTGCTCTTGATGTCACGATCACCTCTAGAACCACCACCCTTGATACTATGACCAGTGAAGCTGCCATAGAAAAACGCATTTTACAAATACTTGAAACTTGTCAGTCTATAAATGCTTCACTTGAAAAGTATCGCAAAAAATTATGCCGTCAGAGTGTGCATAAGAAAAAAACAGTAAACAACATGATTGAACCTGGAACTGAAATCGCTATTGCACCTGACCACGACATGAATCAACAAACCTACAAAAGAAAATTACAGCCAACTTTTTCTGAGCAGTGCATTTTCAAATCGCTCAAGTCCAATAATCATATCGCAGTGGTTGAAGTAAATGGTAAAGACATTCAGGTTCCTGTTACGCAGGTCCAAGTTGTAAAAAAAAAATTGTAAATTGTTAGATTTTTTTTTTTTTTTTGTTGGATTTTTTTTTTTTTTGTTGGATTTTTTTTTTTTTTGATTGATTTTTTTTTTTTTTTTGATTGATTTTTTTTTTTAAAATTTTAAGGTTAGAATTGGGCATATTTTAAGCTAAATGGCATGTTGATTTAGGATTAGATGCAAAGCATTTATGATTGTACTGTCATGTCTTGTTTATGCAGTTTTGAAAAATAATAAGACGAATGTTTTGCTTTGAATTATTTTGTTGTAACATGATTATAAAATCTTGTACATATGTAATCAAATCTGTGCCACAAAGTATCGTTGTTTATTATGTT